CTTTGAAACGTGGCAAAGTGTTGTCGTCAGTGCGGCTCTGGGGCCATGCAGCGTTTGCCTTCTCCAGGGGCTCCACAATGCTCCAGTATTTCTCCTTTTTGAACAGAGCTGACAAAATCCATAATTGCTTCCATTCTGCTTGGTTAAAATTGAGGAAAAGCCCGGCACCCTGCCATGGGGATTGTTCAGCACAGAGTCAATACGATGAAGGCCTCTGCACACAGAGTTGCCCATAACAAGTAGTGGCAATGCTACAGCTCAGCTTGTTTTTTTAATATATCTCTTTTTTTTTTCCCCTCTTTCCCGTGTTGTTTTCCCCCCCCCTGGGTGGAGTACAACTGGGAAGGTGATGAAGGTGATGACTTACCTGCCACAGCTCAGTAGATCGCAATCTGGAACTGGCAGGGTGTTAACACAATGCCCCGACAGAGCTTTTCTGTCTCTAATTTCTATGATTATGTTGTTACTGGATTGGTGAAGAGAACCATGAAAAATACAATTACCAGGAAGCCCTGTGCCTTTCCTCCTCCCTTTGTCTCGCTGTGAGTTGGGTGTGTCACTCACGGAGCAAGAGGACCCACTGTGTTCTCCTGCGTTACCGAAAAGGGTGCTGCCCGCCAATGGGACCCAAGCGTGGGAAAGCCTGACCGCTGGCTGAAGAGGCCAGTTACGTCTTGTTTTGCAGCTGGCATCCAAAGGCACCCTGATGAATCGAGTGATAGCAGCTACCTTCTCCTGCTATGACAGTGGCCGAACAGCAGCACAGAAGAGGGGCTGCAAAAACCACTCCACCACTTATGAGAGCATGAGGAAGGGAAGATGGTTGTGAATGAGTTTGCCATGGTTGGACAGCAATTTTTTTTTAGGTTAGACTAAAAGGAAAGGGGATGAGTTTGTTTCAACTGTGGGTGCTGGTCCCAGGTTTGCTCAGTCCATGCCCACCTGCGCATCACAGGCTGGTGGGGCTGACCCAACCCTGTTATGTGATGCATAGTGGGAAAGGAGAACTTCACTTTTTGACTGTGCTTCAAATAATGCATAAACCTAAGATTCCAATGACAAGTGCCAATAGCAGCAGACCAGTCAATATATTTATCATTAATTTCTATAAAAAATGTCAGCTCACTGTCAACACCAACTCCCAACAGATCTGATAGGCGAGTACGCTCAAAACTGAGGGTGAAATGTGTTATTGGTGTATTGAGTGCTGCAAAAATAAATGTCTAGCAGGAAAGAACAGACTTTGGCAAACAAACTGACAAGAAGCTATACTTGTGAGGAAGGTTTATGATTTGATCTGGAAGGGAACACTGAACATAAATAGGGATAAAGTTTACTTTAAGTATGCATGAAAGACAGGGCTATGAGCCATGGGTTGGACTTCTTCATTCTTCTGCCAGAGAACAGCTTGAAACGTATCTCCCATTTTATGCTCTCTGATCTATTCTCATTACAAAAAGATACCAGCCATCTCAGATTTTCTTTTTTTTTCCATCCCTGTTGTATCAGTTTATCAGTGACAAATGACAACATAAATTCCAGTAGATGAAGGTAAATCCCTTCATCTCAGTGGTAATAAACCTTTAAGCAGAATTTTCCCTGCCTATAGATCCCTGGCACAAATTTTTCTGATCTTCCTGTGCCGAGGGTCTACATGTGGGCAAACAGTACGTGGTACAGAAGTGGCATGCTATTAATATAACTATTAGGCTTAGACTGAATCAGAATCTGTTTAAATGCTGGTATAGCCATGAACAACATCATCCAGGACATATTTCTATGGGGTCTGGTGACTTTATTTCGTGTACTGGGAAAAACCCAGTCTGGAAGCAGGACTCCAGTGAAGGGAAAGTCAGTTATCCCTGTCAGGGATCGCTTTGGCCCCCTGCGTTTCAGCCATCAACAGAGATAAGTGCAAGATGAAGGGAACCAGCAAGGGGAAAAAGAAACAGGCTGGGGGTTTCTCCTTGCTTCTTTTGAAGTCCCCCGTGTAACTCCTGACATCTTCAGTGGGGTTTGGCCGGGCTCCGTGCAGAAACGCCTTTGAAGATGTTGCTAAGGCTGAAGGCCTTGATCACGGAAACATTTACGCCCGTGAGTAACTCTGTGCATATGAGCACAGGGCGCTCAGTGGGATTCTTCGTATGAGACGGAGGATCGGTCTTAAGCAACAAGAGCTTAAGAGAAACATTCTGCTTCTCGTGCTTTTATCCTTGGCCACATCAAATGAAATGCCTTGGCAGTTCTGGGAGAACGAGTTTGCATTGAAAACCCACAGCTCTTACAAGCAGTGCATTAATTATTTTATTAATTTGCTCTTTTTACATTATGGGAAACATTCATCTATTTACATTTTCCTGTCCACACACAAACTAGATAGATAATCCTATGGAAATCCAAATTGTTAAGCCATAAAAACACTCTCCTCTGTCTAAAGGCTTTCAAATTTGTGTCTTTTGTTTCAAATCAAAACACATTTTTAAAATCACATTTGGGAATGCAGGTAGGCCACTGATTTACATTCTAGTTAAAATATGCATTTGACCATTTTCCGTTAAAAAAAAAAATCCAAACCAAAAATCCAAGAAATTCACAAAGATACAGTTTAAATTAAAGTGATAGTGCACATCAAAGCATTAAGGGAACACCAATAAATAAACTGAAATATATTACAAATAAATTATTTCTATTTACCTTTTCAAATATTAAAAATCTTTAATCCATTTCTTCATCTTTCTTTACAAAAAGATTATGAGAATTTTATGGAAACATCTGCAAAAAATATAATAAATACTTTTTTTTTTTAACTTTTGAAGCAGGAGACAAAAACAACCTTTTCTAAAATTTCCCCCGAGAAAAAGAAAGCAATAATTTAGTCCCAAAGTGAAACAGAATATAGGCATTTTTAATATACACTGGGCAAGTTAGACTAAAACCAAATTGTTACAAAGTATACTAAAACAGATGATAGAGCAAATATACTAGCATTAGTGTTGGTAAATGAGTCAAGTGGTTAACTAGTGGCATTCTAGGGA